GATTCCTCACTTCAGGTTCCAGTCTACTTAAGGTTCACTCCCTCCTCTGCTACAAACTCCCAGAATGATCCTGGATTTAATCCCTCTGCACCTACATCCCCCATGCATCAAAGTCGGGTAGAAAGCCTCACTGTCTCCCAACCCTTTCAGGGTGAGCTCTTTGGGGTTGAGAACATCTCCCTCTATGAGGATATACAGTACCTGGCACATGATGCTAGCTTGGGGGCTCACTGTGCCCCTGCATTAGGAATCATATTATGTCTATTTATGGGGAGGTCCAGAAGGAACAGGTCCCAAGTGTAATCCGTGCAGCTAAAGGTGGTTTCTAAGAGCAAATGGTATCTGCTTTTCTATAACTAAATTACTTGGCAACATAAAAGGTTGAGCAGAGACTTAGATGCTCAATTGTCCCCTTAAATGCTGCCTGCTCCTTCTGCTAGATCTGTCTCTAAGCTGTCTCCTGTCTCGCACTCACATTCTGGCTTGTTGACTGTTTAATCAAGGGTGACAGGATTTCTCAAGTGGATCTTTTCCATTAGGGGTGAAAGTTCCTTGTTCCCTTCCCAAAACATGAAGTGCATTAAATGCAAAATCTACCCAACAGGAAGGCTATGGAGTTAAAAACCAAGCTGGGAAATACAGAAGGGAGAAGCTTGGAGATCTATGAACGTGAGCACTGCATTTATACATGCTGTGATATTATGCCAGATTTTACCCAATGCACAGAGCCTTGGTGGCATTTAGAATTATAGAAAAATAGAGCTGGAAAGTACCTCAGGAGCTCATCTGATCCAATCCTCTGCTTATGGCAGAATCGTCCCTGTCTAAACAATCTCATCCAAGCTTTTAACCACGCTTGTAGCTAGAAAGTTCTTCCTAAGATCCAACCTACATTTCCCTTGTTGCAATTTAACACTGTTACTTCTTGTCCTGTCCCCTGGGACCATGGAGAATAGTCTGGCCACTGCTTACACAAATCGGGGCCGAGCAGCAAAATATCTTTGTGGATCTGTGCATGCTGAGCTCTTTGGAAAATGTGGCCTTAACTGTTCCAATCTGGAGCTGAGCATTGCTATCAACAGGGCCTCAACAGTAATGCAAAATGGTAGCAGGGTTCTTCTGTTAACCTCCCACCAGGAAAGTGCTGAGGGAAATGCTGTTGTTCCTTCTGGTTTCCTTTGCTTTTGGTTCTAGGATTTGCCTGTTGTTTACTGTTATTCTAGCAGTGGTTTGGAACCCAAAATGTCACAGCAGGGCTATAAAGTAACCAAGCAGACCTTTGTGTGTCCCAGAGCACTTTTGGAAGCAAAGTCTATCTCCCCACTTCCATGTTGTTGCTAGGAAAAGGGAAGCGCAGCAGAATTCCCCACGCCTAGAGCCCCCACCTCTGTACCCACCTGTTGCAGAAGGCAACAAACACATAGATAAAGTCAAATGCTCTTCTAAGGGACAATGTGCACTGGCAGGGTGATGGGCTGGGTAATGGAATAAGCCTTTTCCATCTTAAAGGCTTGTGAAGCCTTGATAGGCACCAGCAGGAAACCTCTCTGGGAGAAGCTCTGTGGAATGGATACCTCTTAGCACCTCCCCAGAGGAACAGAGCCTCAGTTTGCTCACAGCCCCCGAATCAGGAACACCTCCCAGTTACCTCCCAGCTATTAATTCACAGCCAGAGAACTGTGCTGACAGCACTATCCCTGTGGAGCAAGAGAACCACCCAGGGGCAAGCAGGGGTATCCAGGCTCCCCATATGCTTCCGTCCTCCCTTCCTTAAGGTGACCTGTGAAAATCTCCTCACAAGGCTCTCCCAGCTGGAAGTACATGCAACAGGCAGATCAGCATTGCTAGGCCAGAAGTGCCCCAGCACTGAGTCACCTGGATAGGAGGACCACAATTTTGTATGATCCACCCTGGCTCAGGGCCAAGTGTTCAAGTGCTCAGCACCCACCTGCCCCCAGACTGTGGAGCTCTCTTGAAAATCTAGTTCCTAAAGTTACATCTATAACAGCGGTGACAAACCCCTCAGGACCTCAGGTTGAGCACCACTTGTCTACACCACTTCAGTCACGCTCCTTAAAGCATGCCCCACCCACTTGTGCCTGCCTGCCCGCATCAGATACAGGAGTAAGAAGATGAAGCTGCTCTGGGATCACTTCTGTCTGTGGTGTGCTCCAGAGCAGCAGCTGGGGGAGGGGAGGAGAGGGGACTCGGAGGCTTCACCGACCCATTTCTGGGTTTGGTGCTTTGTGGGCCACGTGGGCAGTGCCAGGCTTTTTGGCAGTGCCCAAGAGTACCAAGGAGGCTGTACAGACATGCCCTACATATATGAGAACCTTGGGACTGGTTCTTTGTAATGGCAAAGACCTTCTAAAAAAGACAAACCATATTACTATTATTGTTGTTGCTGCTGTTATTGATATTATTGTTGTTGTTATCACCATATTTGGCAATCATGGATTGTAATGCTGTGTTGCAATATTATTATTGCATCATAGCAGTATAATCCACTATTGACAAATGATGATGATGATAATGTGGCAAGTGGGGAGTAAAACATTTTAGCAAATGGCAACCATATCCACAGCCCAGTCACTCACAAACACCTTCAGGCTTCCCATCCACCCTTCTCACTGAGCCTCATACTTCCCATCCCCCTTAACTCTATACAAAGAATTTAAACCAAGCAAGAAACAGTTGAGGCTGAATACGAATAGATGGTAGAATTCACTACCACAGGAGCCCCACGTGTATAAGAGCTTAGCAAGGTCCAAAGCTGGGCAGTTTGTTCCCAGCTGATGAGAACATCTGGAGTAGCAACAGTTAATGTCAGTGGGTTCTTGGAAAGGTTGTAAGACCATACACTTCAGGTTTAAAACCAAACTCTAACTATTAGGGCCTATCCCACAGAACAGATTGTCCCACTGCAGGTGCTGTGGAGATCTAACACTTTCCTTTGAAGCATCTGTCATCAACCACTGCCAGAGGCAGGACACAGGGCCAGGTGGATCATGGGGCTGATTCCAGTTGAAGAATCCTATGTCTCTTCTTGAAATACACTCAGCTGGTTCTTTTCCAAAAGCAGAGCAAAACCTCCAGCTTCTCCAGATGTTTCAATACCTCCACAACTCCCTGCTATAACCTGGATGTTGTCCTAACCTCCATCTGCTGGACACTGCCCCTGAGTGAAGGTCCAGGGGTGGCACTTTGGCTGCATTCTCCAGGCTCATCAGAGCTCTGCTAAAATACACAGGCCTTCATACTCCCAAGCACTGTACCTGGCATGAAGCTGGGTGTGCATCAGAGCTCCCTGGACTAGTCTCCTCAGATGGAAGAGTCTCTCAGCACGTATTTAATGCCCAAAGCTAACAGCTCCAGACAGCTCTGGGTGTTTATAGAGCAGATGACCCTTTGTCTGTCTACCCAGCTGGAGAAATGCCTATGGTAAGAAGCTACCAGAAAAAAACTGGGAGAAAAATGAAAGAACTGGAAAGGAAAAGTTGTGCTTGGAGGATTAAGGTGGTTACCCTGAGAACTGACAGGGAGAGATTGTTAAAAACCAGGAGGCAGCAGCTACTTAGAGGTTTGGAGTGGGGTAGGGAAACACAGAGCCATTACAAGGAGGGCTGATGACATGTCTCAATGCCCCTCTGTTGGGCTGCCTGTGCAGATTTGTCTCTGCAGCATGCCCCACTGGAGCAGAGTCAGGAAAAGCTGACTCAAATGTACCTTGGTTTAGATCTCAGCAGGAGCAGGCCAGCAGAGTTCTGTTAGAACACAGGGAGGGAAAGAGGAAAAGGAGGAAAGAAGCCTGCCGGGGAGAGGCCAGGCATGTCAGCAGCAAAATTTGTGGGGGAATGGTCAGAGCCAATATGGTGACTGCTACACTCCTAGGAGGACCTGCTGTGCTCTAGGACGCATGTGGTAGCAGACTAGGTAGCATCAGTTAGGAAGACAGCTGAGTTCTGAGACAACTTTGATATTAGCATGTTAGCCATTGTTCTTTCCCAGGGAAATCGCCGAGTGGATCATGCTTTACTCTCAACCTCTCCCTGCTGCTTCATTTTCCCCATTGTGTTCCCACCTATAATCCTTTTGTTGAGCAGAAGGAATGTCACCAGGCCACAGTGCAGCCAGCAGGGCTGCGTACAGCACTGAGTTCTAAACCTGGCTCGGATTTGCTCTGTGGTCTAGGACAAAACACTTGGGCCTTTGTAACTTAGTGTCATCCTTGGAAGGTAGCAGGGGTCAGCCCTCCTCACAGGGAGAGAGGAGCCTAGAGTTTGAATTCACACCCAGGATCTAAGTAGGTGCTTAGGACATCTTTACATGTGCTCTGGGGTGGGGTGGGGGGAACATTTTAATTGGAGTGCTTCTCTGGCGCTGCTCTAATTAAAGTGCCCACAGTGTCTGGTGTGTTCAGCATCCCATGCTTCAAAATGGCAGCAGGGGAGCTTGTTCAATGAGCTTTAGTTAAAGCGCTCCCACTGCCATTTTGAAGCACAGGAGTATTGAATACATGTGATGCGGAGGCTGCTGGAGCACATTAATTAGCATGCTCCAGCAGACTCAATTAATTAGAACATTGGGCACATGAATAAGTGACAGAAGAGCACAAGTCCCCCCAGTGCTCCTAAGTCATATGAATGTGTGCTGTAGAAAATCTAATCTGTAACCACACAAATGCAGGCAAAGCAGCTTTGCTTCCAGTTCACCTTTTTGCTCATTTTCCCTTACGTTTCTCTTGTATTCTGTCCATTTACGGCACCATTAAAATGCTAGGCCTTCTTGACAAGGGGTCAGCTGCTGCCCCACTATATGAAAAATTGAGAATGACTTTATGGCTGGCTCTATTGGGGTTGCATCCTGTAGGCACTAGCGTATATGTGCACCCACCCCACAGCAGAAGTGAGTGGTCCTGCAGTGGGTACCAGGGATGGACTTTGCTGAATGAGGCAGGGCACCCAGGGAAGAAGCCATGTCCATAAAGAGACATCACTTACCCTTGTTCCTCCATCATCTCCTGTAGCTCCATGCACTTCAGCTCCACCCGCCGCTTGCGCTCATGGTCCAGGATTTCCCGATGAGCTTTCTTCACCAAGCTAGGCTCCACTAGCCGCACCTCCTCCTCAGGCTTGTGCCAGGTGCCAGAGGCCCCAGGCTGAGAGAAGCCATTTGATGCTTCCTGTGGGGAAGGCATCTTGGCTCCGTTGTTGTACAGGGACATCCCAGTGTGTGTGCGCGTCACCCTCAGACTCAGCAGCTCCTGCAAGGGATGGAAACACGTACACGGTAAGTCAATCCCAGCCTGCCCATTCCCAACCAGGACAGGAAAAAAATAGAGCCAAGCAGTAAGCTGCTTGGCTAAATTAATACTGACAGCTTAATGGGGACGAGCTGTTCTAATCTGCTTCTCAGGACGTCAGGGATGCATGCTGGCAGCCAGGCACCATTAACTCATCTTCCAGTGCAGAGAGAGGAGGTGAGTCTACTCCAGGAAGGGTCCTGGCAACATGCTGGTATAGGCCATTGCATGGTGCAGCCTAAGTAGAGATCCACCATGCCACAGCAGTGAAAAAGCATCATTTGATGGGGGCTCCCAAGCTACCAGCTTTTCATTCCTCAGCAACCCACAGTGTGGTCCAGCAGAGGTGGCTTTGCTCTCTCTGGGATACTAGAGGGATGGTGTAGAAAAGGTACTACAAAGCTTTGTAGCTGGTCATGTCTATCCAGCCTATCCCAGCTCAAACATGATCATTTTCCAAGGAAGTGCTGGGCCCTGACAGTCAAGCTGGGTTCTGTTCCTTCTTATGCCTGACTCCCAACTGTGACAGCTCTGAGCCCACAGGGACAGCTGCACGTTCGTCACAGGCTGAAGTTTCACAGACAGTTCTGTGGAGTGTGCATGAGGAGGAACAGACTCTCTCAGGCCCTGTGGTTCCCTAGTGAGCAGATTAGCCTCTCTCACAAAAGGAAGCAAATCTATGGAACCTTGAGCTTCCATATCACTTTTCCAAGGAGATCTGAATTTTAACCAGCGTGACAGAGTGCTATTTAATGGAAATTCAGGAGTTTGCCAGAGTTGGCTATACAGAGTAAGAGGAACCTCAGAGGTGCTTTGTTCATGTGTGTTCTGTCATACCTGGGTGAACTGCACCCCAATGTGGAGGCCTGTGTCATAAGTGAATCTCCTACACATGCCTACTGCTGGAACATCTGCATGGCATAGGTACCACCAATGCCATCTCTCCTAAGGAAGAACAAACTTCCCTAAGGAAGAGGAGTCACCAACAGCTACCACCAGCATTGAGACATCCCAGCTGGTGGACAAATATGGGTTGACCACCTTAGAAACAACGACTTCACAGGGATCTGAGATGGTCCTTACTAGCACAGAAGCCTCTCTTCTTTATTTGTTATCACAGAAAGACTCTCCTGTTGAGCTAAATCACTGCAAAGGGAGATTCACTTCCAGACAAACAAGGGGCTAAGACCAACCCTGGTGCAAGTCCCTGGTGTTATACCAAAAATAACTTGGCTCCCAATTAAATTGCTTTTGTCCCGTCCTTTCACTTCTCCTGTCATTTACTAGAAGCTGTGTTAATGCTCTGCATTTCTACGCTGCCTTCCAAGAAAGACCCAGCCAGAAGTCAAGTCCCAGCCCTGCTGACATGGGCTCGATGGCAGCAGACAGCTCAAAGCACATGGCTTGTAGTGGGAGGAGTGCTGGAATTTTGGCTAGGGAGCCATGGGCTGTGGACTCTCCAAGCTTGTGCAGTGCAAAGGCTGTTGGTGCATCAGGGCTCAGCTGAAAGACACCTGTACAATGAGATTAGACTAATTTACTCAGAAGAAGGGATGATCTGACTCCCCCTGGGCTCCTAGGCCATCTTTCTAAGGCAAACCAGTGTTTCTATGTGTAGCTTGTTTTAACAGTGTGGTGCCTCGCGTTTTATACAGAGGTTGATGATCCCACTTGTCCTGACAAGGGGTGTGGTGAGAGAGCAGTGGAGACTTCTGGCTACAACTGCAAGTCTGTGAGTTCAAGCCCTGCACTCAGGCCAAAGAGTGCTCCCCACTTGTAAAGTGGGCCACTACAGCTGGGCAGGCAAAGGCAGCTCTATGTCATGTCAGATATGTTGCTCCCTTGTGGGCAGCTGGTTACAGAAATTGGTGTGGCCCTAACCATGGTATCCTGATGGACTGTTTGGTTTGGAAGGACCTTTGATATGACTCCCTGTGAGCTAAGAGTCATTTAGCATGTGCAGTAGAAGCTCATCCCTAGGTCCTGCTTCAAGGCAGCCCTTGAGCTGACTCTTCTTTTGGTCTCTGACAGACACAGGATCAGGCCTACTGCAGTAGCTTCTGCTCAATTCTGTTTCCCATCCCTGTGACATCTCAGTGGAGAATGGATCTCACGGTGCTGCTGAACCCTATAATCTTCTATAATCAAGATGGGATCAGAGGAGGGCCAAACTGAGGTACTGTGGGTCAGGGGGAAAGGGACCTGGTATTGGGGGTCTAGTATAGACTGCCATACCAGGAAGATAAGCTAGACCTGGAATTCTCCAGACAGCTCTCAAAGGCTGTACAGTGGAGAGATATGGTTGTCATGGGTGAGCTAAACTACCCAGACATCTGCTGGGAGGAGCAGGCAGCCAAATCAACTGCGCACTTAGGTTCTTAACCTACATACAGGACCTACACCTAACGCAGGAGGTATATGATCCCACTAGGGGAAATGCCTTGCTGGACTTGGTGTTAGCTACAGAGGCTGACCTGGTGGGGAATCTGCAGGTACAAAGTAACCTAAAGAATAGTGACCATTGATTGATTGAATTCACTATCCAACGAAAGGTAGGAAAACTAACTAGCAGGGCTGAAGTGCTAGTTCAGAAAGGCTAACTTCAGTGTGCTCAGGAGATTAGTTAGTGAGGCGTTAAAGTTCAAGAGCATTGGTGAAATGGGGGTCCAGGAAGGGTGGTCATTCCTCAAGGGAGCAATCCTATGGGCACAGAAGGAGACACTCCCATTGTGCATAAAAGGGGGCAAAGGGGCCAAGAAACCCTCTTGGCTGAACAGGGAAATCCAGGAAAGCCTGAGGGCAAAGAAAGAAGTATACAGGCTGTGGAAAAAGGGGGTAGCTACCATGGAGGAGTTTACCTCCCTGGCTTGCGTTTGCAGGGAATCAGTTAGGAAGGCCAAAGCAGGATTAGAATTTAGGCTGGTGACAAAAATTAAGGACAACAAAAAGTCCTTCTTCAGGTACATAGGGAGCAAAAGGAAAGCACAGGATAGCATAAGACCCCTACAGGACAAAGATGGGCAATTGGTGACAGAGAGGGGGGACACAAGCTGAGCTCTTCAATGAGTTCTTTGCATCTGTATTCCTAGACACAGACCAAGATAAATCTCCCAGTTGGATCATAGATAGACACAGGCGGGACACCAGCCCACCAACTATTAGAGCAGACTTAGTGAAGGGGCACTTGGAGGGGCTGGATCAGCGGGCCCGGATGAACTC